GGGGGGCTACCTCACTGAGGGGTTCTGCTGACTCACAAGAGACAAACACTGTTAACTGATTAGCTGATTTTATTTACTCTCCATATCTGTCTGACTGGCTGCTGACAAGCCGTTTGTCTACAGGAAGTGACCTCAGGCACGGTGAAGCACTTACCAGGCGTTCGGACAGGGGTGTCTTGTCGCTGGCAGGCAGATGCTGCTCCAGGGCCAAGACGATGCAGTTGGCGATAATTGTAGCGAGGATCATGTACTCAAATGGAGTGAGAGAGTTAAGGAGCAGTGGGGAGAGACAAAGTGGCATTCATTTCATTTCACAGCTGAATCATAAAGTATACATTTCCTTCTTCTGGAAGGTTTAAAGACCTACTTTTCAAACAGAATACATGTGTTTAGTACTATGAGTAACCAATCAGCGTTGTTAACCCGACTCAGTCTAATGAAACACGGGTGCCTATTGGCAGACAACATTCAATTGTACAGAATAGCAAATGATCCTGAATGTTGCTGTATGAAAACTACCATTAAACTCAAATATGGACATATTCTGTCCACTAAGGCATAAACCTTCCATCAGGCTCTGGTTGAAGGCTTTCTAGAGAGAAAGCATCCTATACATGCGCTCGTGATCTTTCCAGATGGTTGACCATTTCCAATGGTTGGCTCATTCTACATTCCATTTTCACTGGGTCATTGCCCGCGGGTCAGGGCCTATTGAGAGCCTATGAATCGCAAGGGAATAAGGAGATTATGACCATTACAGCCAAGATGTAGAATTAGTACCCATAAGACACCCTAATTATGCAACCAGAATACTGTTTTCTTAGCAGTAAGATAGGGAATAGTGGCTACTGTTACTGTTCCAGCTTTGATTTTCAGTTTGTGGCGGGTTTATATGTTTTTCCGTTTGGTCCTGTGGAGTAGTAGCGAGGTTCAACTCGTATCAGCTCATACATGGCACGGATGAATTAAAGCCCTTGTTATTCCATTATAGCTAATGCTGTTCTCACCGTCACCCACAGTGCACATCCAGTTGTCTTCTTGCGTTTGTCACACAAGCTCTGGCTCTCCAGCCTGTCATTTCAACGAGTCGTTTAATCTGGGTTTCCTCATTTAAATGTGGATATGCTTATAACGGTATTATTAACTTTAAATTATTTCACTTGTTTTTAATCCAAATCACCTGTTTCAAGATTTAAACTGCATGAACTGCTTTCAAGTCTTTTAATATCACTGCATAAAAATGTGAAGAAATGCTCATGAACCGAGATAATTTAACGTGTTTTCAGACCAAATCACATGTTTCAAAACGTTTCTTGTATTAAATGTAATTGTGCCATTGTTGCTGTAGATTTAACCTTACTACAAAATGTTGACACTTTCCTATCTTGAAATAGATGAAACCGTGACAGACATGCTGAATAATGTCAACTGGCAGAATATTTCCCTTATTCTAGGAAAGAAAATACTTTGAAGGGTGACTATGACTCGCTGAAGTGGACATTTGTTTTTGCAGAGTTGAAAGAGTTGAGCGTGGGCGACTTCAGCACCATGGAGAGGGCTCCTAACTAAGACAACGAGGCGGTGCTGCTGCAACAACCCTGGACCAACGGTCTCCTTTTTGCCAGAACAAACCGCGTCTTCTGTTAATTAACAAGAAGAGGTCAGTCAGTGCACGCGGCCACATCACTGACTAACCGCTGCCCTTTTACGCACGCAGCTGCTTAATGACTTCCACTTGCGTCGATCGATAGCGATGTTTGATCGTCATTAACTGACGCCGGGATTTGCCGTCCTCGTCCGGCGGACAGTTTACAAGCGGACATTGTGACACAAGAACGTATCGGTCGGTGCGGGCGCCTCGAGGTTCTGAACTGCGCTGGGAATATAAAAAGGCAACACAACAGGCGGATGTGAAGTATTTTCACCCGCCCGCAACCGATCAAGAAAACATCTTTGGGTCATGTTGCACACAGATAAGAAGCGGAGCAACAGGTGCAGTCGGCGTTGCACGGTGATTAATAAAGAAAGACGCTGTAGCTGCTCCACGGTGTGAAAACAGCTGCTAGTTCAACAGCAACCCAAACTGTGCGCGCAGAATGTAATCCACATCAGCACCTAAACACAACAGCTTGACAAATAGGCCTGCGAGGGTGGTGTGTGTGTTTTTCAACCATCTGTGTGTGGTTGCCAAGCAAGGACGGAGAGGTTAGGGGGCTACAGATGCACCTGCTCCGCGCGCGGTGCTACAGGCTGCTGGTCAGGAAAAGGATATGGCCACTCTGTTATTCGCTTTGCATACTTCCTGATGAGGTTGTCCTCGCGGAAGATGAAGAGGGAGCGGTTGACCGTGAGGCAGTTTTGTTTGACAGGGTTCGGGTTGTAGATGGCCATTGTCCGGGCTCTCTGGGCCATCGACTGCTTGTACACCCTCGGGCCACCCGGAGCGCCACCACCCCGGGCTCCCCCTCTGCCAGCGCCCGGTCCGCCTCTCCCTCCGCCGCCTGCGTTTCCTCCATAGCGGGTGGGTAGATCTTCGGGGAAGCGAGCCATTCTGGAAACGCACAGATCCAAAAGGGTAAATCCAAACTGGTGTCAGTGGAAATGGAGGGGAGACGCATCACAACACACACACTTCATCCAAACCACAGCTCAGCGTTAAGAGTGTACAGAAAGCGCTGCGTTTTGGAAGATGAAAAATAAGGTGGCCTCATAGAAAACCATGTTCTCGTGATCCTTTTCATTCATTCATCTTCAGAGAAATGTTAAACTGCAAAGTTTAAAAGCAATAAAGCACTTGAGCTGTACAATAATTCACTTCGCGGAGGCTGTTGCGTCCATAGCAGCCGGGCTCTGAGTGGAGAAGAAGAAAAAAAAATAAAATCACGGTGAAACTAAACCAGATCGCCCCTTCTCTGTCCAGAATCCTGACAGCATCGTGTCAGCATCCAGACACCAGTTGAAACGTTCAGGGCGTCACTCAAAACAAGCAGGTTGCGTCACAAAACACCGGGGTTCCTCCGGTTTCTTTTCTCAGCTGAGATAAATAAGAAGACAAGCCAATCCAAGTTGTCCGGAGATTTCCTGTCTGATCGCTCGCTGTATGGGGGCTGAGGGCTATATAGCAAGTCCTCAGTAGAATAAGGAAGAGCGCATGTGACCAGAGCCGGCCTATCGGCGACTGGAGCGCACGGACGCGCTCACCGTCTGTTGGCTGGTTATCAGAGAGACTGAACAACTAATGGAGTTCACAAAAAACCCTGCGGGTCAAAACATGATGTGTGTTGATCAATCTTTCTCTTGGCGTCAACGAGGGACACCATGTTGTATGTGCAGAAGATAGCAGCTCTCAAAAGATCTTGAGATGCAAAAAATAAAAATCTAACAAGTGACAACATTCATGCAAAGATCAGACTGTTTTTTTCTCAGTCGATGTAAATGAAATGACACTTTATGTTTGCATACCTTGTTGACAGAATCAGACACTTATGAAAGTGAAAACTAATCATTGTGAATCTAAACCAGTAGCCACATTGTCCGATCCATATATGTTACCCTTATGTTTTGTTGAAATGAGCTTTACCTCCTCGTTGTTTGGAGTCTTACAGAGTCTACTGCTGTATGTGTAAAAATCATAATAATATGAATATGAATAAATGAAAAATAAACCCATCTATTTTTTTCTTTTCTTATTACCTCATTAAAAGCCCGCAGGTAGAAACTATCGAAGTGGCAACCCTTCACTAACTGGACTTGCGTATTTGATGAAGGTGACAAAATATGCAAATAACCATAAAGCATTGTTATTATATCAACAAAAGGAGAAAACAATGTATACGGGCTATGCATGAATCACAAAAAGTAAGTCAGTGACAAAGGAATATTTATCCTACATGGTGTTTGGGCCAGTTGTTAGTTTAGTGCTATAGTGTAGCTATTGCTGCATCCATACATTGTGCAAAATCCATTGAATTGAACCAGACAGCACCCTGGCGTTATTATTGACTACAGCCAGTATACCTTCCAACAGAAGCTCTACACAAAGTTGTGTGTCTGAGAAACTCATAATTAAACACAGAGTCTCCTCCGAGTTGTTTTATCTCCTCTGGGACAATGACACGAGACCAAAACTATGGCTTATACTAAACATGCAGATGTTATGAGATTCGCTGGCGTGAACCATGTGACTGCTCTCCAGGAAAGTGACAGCAAAGTGCACTGGAGCTCTGCTCTAAACAGGACTTTGTAGCTTACTTTCAAGTATTTGGGAATATTCCCAATTTTAATTAAATTTAAAGAAACATATGCAACATATTTATCTCCTGACATGACTTAGTCTACAGCTGTCTCATTGAAAGTGTTCAGTCACACAGTATCACTGCAGCCATTTTTTTTTCAGGTATATTTACTTCATTTTTGTGTATTGTATTTTATTACTCAGACTAAACTCTCAGTGTTGTCATGTGGTGTGTGCGTACGGTTTAATGAACTATTCTATTTTTTTGATTATGTCAGCAGTAAGTTGTTTATCATGGGCAGGAAATAAACAAGCCATGTTTATGGCTACGGGGATTCACAGACCACTATAAATTGATGTAATAGGCCGTTGAGTCAAACGTTAATTACCGTTGGGAACGTTTTGACTGTGGCGTTTACCGGAGATGATGGTTATGCTTTTCAAATTAGATTTAGAAAAGGAATTCAAATAAGACATCGAAACTTCTCACTCGGGCACTTTGATCCAAAGCTTGTTTTTGTTTTCACTCAGCAGTTTCCATTTCCTGTCTATTTCCTCCAAGAGTCACAATATGTTGTTTTGGGCTGGTTTATTAAAGAGTAGATAATAGGCCACTTTTCTACAGGTTTCTGTTTTTAGCCATTCAATCAAATAGGTTGAAAAGTATGTGTACACACAAACATTACACCGTAAGTAAACAAAGGTACATGAAAGGTATATGTGGGCAGTGGTGTGAGCTCTGATACTGCACTGTCAATCATTTTGAAACAGAAGGTGTTGCCCTTACAAACCGAAGATGTTTCAATTCGGGGTAAAACCACAGGATGCCATTCATCCATGAACATGTGTGAAGTGTGCGCGACTATTACTCACACCCACAGCACAATATCTGGCCAACCTTTAAACATGTCTTTGAATGCATTTGTTGTTGTTCAATCCAGTGAACCAACAGCACACCAGACAAAGCTAGTTGTTGACTTGATCGCATCCAGAGGCCAGTTATAAATGAATCCAGTTTTTCTGCTCTTATTGAAAAAATAAATCAAATTTAGCTCTCTGTTAACATAATCTGCAGCCATGTGATGAACACAAATGCTCTGCATACGGCTGAGGAGCCATCTAGTGGTTCAGTAAATGTACTGCGGAAATAAAATGAAAGAGTGGCTGTATCATTATGCGCTGATATTGCTGAATAAACTGTTAATGTGTAAATAATAATAATAATAATAATAATGCTTACTTTGTAATAACATCCCCACTGCAAAATATCTAGAGAACTGGAGTTTGGTTGTATGATTCTACAAACACATTTACCCCAAAAAGACCAACATTTATATATTAGTTTAATTAATAGCAGGACAAAGAGGGGCCCCCACAAGAACTCCAAGGGCCCCCAAAAGCTCTGGGCTTGCTTTGTCACTGTCAACAAATTTAATTTGAAAATGTGTTTGGGAATATAAACCACTAAAGCGCAAGATGCTGTATAATGGCTGTGGTTTCTGATTAGCTTTCATTTCATAACAAGACAAGAGCTCTTTGCTTAGGTGGGTCGTGCTTTATTAATTCATCTTGAAGGAGGTTCCCCGTGTCAAAATCTAGTTTAATTGCATTCATTATTTCAGTTTTGTGCTTATACGTTCTAATTATCACACAGTATGTCTGGGGCCACGTATTCTACCTGAAGGTTATTTAAATGCAGTTCTACTAGTTAACAGTTAACATATAGTTTTAATGTTAGTACTGCGGCTCACCCGCGGGGCCATGGCGTGCTGTTCAGAGTCTCGTGCTTCCTGACGATCTGGCGCAGACCGTCAATCCTTCCCGCTCTGCTCAGCCCGTCCAGGTGTAGAACCGAGTCATACTTCCGCACGGTGTCGGTGTCCACGTCTCTCCATGACGGCCCCTCCGGGTCCCCAGCGCACATGTCTGGCCCCTCGACAGGCCCCGGCTCCTCCTCCACGCGCTTCTCAAGGGGACGGCCTCTCCTGTCAGGTGACAGAGCCCAGGTGTCCTCGTACTCCGCACCCAGAGTAAGCATCCTCCAGGAGCCCAGTGTGGCTGCGCGCACCGCTGGTGATGGGGGGGGGGGGAATGCATACGTAGGCAGTGGACAATTTTACATGTTGTACTATAGAAAAATAACTTAAGGAAGTTGGTACCTGCCTAAAAACACATAGTGCTAAAAAGTAATTATGCTAAACTCAGCAGGCTACAAACGACCTATATCTGCGCCAAATATGGCTAACGGTGAATAGCTTCTCACAGACTAACAGCTAGCTTACCTTCTACGGCAGCACGTTTTGTTTCTCGTTTAACTGAGTTTTTATCTATTTTAATGGTAAAAACTGCTGTGCAAACAGTTAGCTGACATCACGCCACTCAGGCTCTCCAGTAGTTGTTGTCCTCGAGTTTAATAAAAACTAAGTTGAAAGTTATTAAAAGTGCTTTCAATAAAGCACACGTCTCACCGATATGGTCTTCGTTTCAGCCGGCGGGCTAAACCACAATAGGCCTTTTTTACAAACATGTTGTCAGGGCACAGTAGGTAACGCACAGGTGTAGCTAATTAATATAATTAATTATGGCTTAATTACATTTAGCTGCTTCTGTTTCAGGGTCCTGGTGTTATTTATGATTGCTCACTGTCGGACTGTCCTGGTTTAGGGTTATTGGGACACCTTTTATTGAACAGAGCCATTGTTAATGTTGTATATGAGAAGTCAAAATGTCTGCTCTGACAAAGGCTTTGCAGTCATTCCTACGTTGCCATAATCTCTCTTGATAATCACAATTTATTTTTATTGCCAATTCCCACAAAATGATTAGTCTGTGATTATGTCTATTACACAGTAATAACATGAACCGTTAAGATACAAATGTTTTAGATATAAAATAAAAATATGTATTTTGTTCTGCTTTTCTACCCTGTTATCTCGTTAACCCTCGCGTCTTATTTTATGATCCAGAGGGGAGGCCCAGATTGTCAGTGCCTTAACTCAGGATTTACTACCCTAATGATTATCAATTCAACAAAGAAATGTAAACAAATGCAAACAAAATTGGTAAGAACCAGAATGAACATACCATAAACCACAGTGGCTCGTTCCTCTGCCCATCTGGAGTTGTAAGGAAGTGTTCTCTTCATATCTGCTCTCCAGGATTACTGGAATAAATCCAATTTAACAGTGGAATAAAGCAGCTATTTGACCCTTGCACAGTTCATGCACACATGTCTGAGGCACCAGGGCAGGGGCACCACAAAAGACAAAAAGAAAAAGAAAAGTTTCTCCCACCTTGGAATGCGGAAAGGCTGCTTCCTGTCCTGCCAATTAAGGACCTCGTTATCAGACCGACCGTCTTCGATGCTCAGGGAGAAATTTCTCTGATTCAATTATCGGCTCTGTTTTCGCTGTCCGCCCCGGTAACCAGGAAGGGAGCAATCAGCGGCCAGTTTCCGAGGCCTAAAAGGCCTGCAGATGTTACAGCTACTCACTTCCTGCTGGGGTCTCTTTCTTCACGTTGATGCTACAGGGGACATGTTGGAACCAAATCCACTGGATCTTTGTTTCTACAACAGCTGATTAGATTCCTGTTTTTAGCGCATTCTTCTTTGACTGAGTTTAGCTGCAGAAGTGGGACAGAACTAGGTCCATTTACTGAGGCACTGCACTAATGTGAAAGGATTATACATTACTTAAATATTTCTATTTTAAGAGACTTCTTCCTCAGCTTCAAAGGAAATATTGTACCTTTTATTCATTTTTCAACTGCCATACCTACTAGTGGCTTTGCAGATTCATTTTTTTTTAGACTGTAATAGATGTCAGCTTTTAATGCCACCCAAAAAAACAGCTGTTGAGCTTGATAAAACTGTTAGGAGTGACATCTCTTTGGGCCAGACGGAAATATCAAAACACAAACTGGAAGGATTGCATTAGAATTTTGTCTGACATTCAATTCAATTTATACCTGAAAAACGAATGACATCAGCCTCAGCTGTACTTTATAGTGCTAAGTAGCAGGCGGTTGCACGCTAACACGCAACCAAAACAGTACTTGCATGTTATGTAATCATATTGTTATTGTCAGCATGCTGATGTAATCACCACTATGTGAATGTGCAACCATACAGTCAGACTGTTTTATTGTTGGTGACTCAACTCATCTTGAATTATTGATTTGTAAATTCTTTAATTTATAGCATATAAACAGTTCTAGATATTAATGGTGCTGTAGAAATACACTTTTGGCTTTTCGTACTTTTCCGCCTTTAAGTCGTAAAACTTGTGTAGTTTGGAATTGAAACTTGAACTCTGAACTCTATCCTTTTGAAGAGAGTTCTTCAGCAGCTCTCTTAAGAATCAAGGCTCAAACGAGAAGCTTTGAAAATCCAAACTCATTAAAAGCACACCAAGTGTGGGAAGTGTCGGCAGCTCCGATGCCACAGCTGCTCCAGTATTTCGGCGCCGGGCCCTGGGCCCCGTCTGTCAAATTGGAGCTGCTGCTGATGCTCGGCTCGTGTGGGTTCAAACTGACTGCAGGCTTCAGTCTGAAGATCTCTCAGTAATGTGTTTGTGGTTGACAAGATGGGGAGCTAAAAAGCAATCTCTCACTGGACATGAAGAAAATCTGCAAAATGACTGAGCTGGAGAAAGAGGCACTGTGATATTCAACGATTTTTAGGCAACTTTGTAGCAAACAGGCTTGCCTTCCAAGGAAAAACTGCAACAAGTAACGCATGTCAGAATAAATGCATTAGTAGTAAATTTATTGAAAAAGATACAACCAATTAGATGGATGGTTCACGGTCCAGAAATATGTAACAGAAAGTTATGAATTGCATTTTTTATAACTTTTTTTTTCATTTATACCTTTCAAGACTTTGCACAACAGTCACTGCTTTACTAACAACATTTAAAAAGACTGGTTGGCTTCTGTCGGCAAAAATCATGAAACAAAAATAGCCCAACTACAGTAACTACGCTTAGAAAAGTGGGAGTTAAAATTAAACATAAAAAAACGTAAAACGTTCTCTTATCTTACAAACTATGTTCACTTGGGTAATAAAAATGAAAACAAAAATAAAAACCTTTGTCAGCACCATTTCCTTGTTTTTAAACTATTTCAGTTTAATCAATTCTCCCACCAGGGTGGCAGCATGCTCCATAAAACAGTCAACCAATGTATTCAGACTAGAAACGCCTCGTTCTTGAGGAATGGTACAGCATCTTTCTCTCAGACAATCTATACTCGCTCGAGTAGCAAAGAAAAAGAAAAATAGTCCACTTTTTTTTTTTTGCACCACGCCTTCGTTTTCCCCCATCATTTTAGCTAATCCATCAAATCATAATTAACTATGGTGGCAAATGTTGGGACATGTCTGATCAAACACTGCAGCGAAGATGAAGTGACGCAAAGAAGTGGCAACATAGTTCAATATTTATCCGCTAATCTTGCTGGAATGGTTCATGATAAACGACCGCAAAAGGTCAAACAAGTTAAGCCCAGCTGAACGCTGATGTTGTCTTCGCAAAAGACAACGATACCCTCATCCCGACCCCAAAGTTCCGTGATCGTGACTCCATAAGAAAAGACATTTAACAATTCCAACCTTATAGAAAAAAAAGACAAAATGCACAGTCCTCCTCCCCAGTAAAGTAATGTGTGACGTTATGTATGACATGTAAAGACGGTCCTATTGTCTGTGACTTTGCTGTGCGTGACGTCGCTGCCCCCTGCTGTTCGTGGTACACAAGGTGGAATAAAGGAGCAGTAAAGTTCCTCCAGGATTTGATTGTGCATCTGGTTCTGTGTGGCAACGTTTTAACGGGTTCTCACGAAGGTCCATGGTTTTTGAATCAGAAGTGGAGATACAGTACAAGTTCATTGATAAAAGTTCAGACGGGTGCATTGCGCAGGTGTCCTTGTGTGTCCCATCAGCCGAGCTTTAGAGTGTGTGGAGGGTTTTTTTTTTTTTAGGAAGGACTAGAAGGACTGTTGGAAGAGCTGGTGTCGGGCGACGCACTGGGCTGCTGCTGGCCCTCCGGCGTGCTGTCAGCCTGCAGCGACGCCATGGCCGCTGACGAGTACTTGCACTTGGACGAGCCGCACTCGCAGCTGAACAGCTTGCTTTTGACTTCCCAGAAGTGGTCGCCGTAATTAAATCTGAGAGAGAGAGAGAGAGAGAGAGAGAGGGGGCGGGGGGTGAGAGAGATAATTATTATAGAAAAGTACTGTCATTTAATCCAAACCTGCAAAAAAGGTTCATGTCTTGAATTGGTCAAAAATACATTAAAAGCGTTACCCAAGCTCCTCTCCAGCCTTGATGTTTTCACTGGCAAAGAAGGCAATGTGTGGGAAACGAAGGTCCTGGTGCGTTGTGAACACTCGACAGGCGAACAAGTTGGGCTCGCACATGTGATTGAGGAAGCGGCTGATGTTTCCATAGAAACGTGCGTCAATGCAGTATAGATCTTGTGGCTGGGAGGGAAGAAGAAGAGACAGAAACTAGATAAGAAGGCTGCAAGTGCACAGCTGAAATAATTCACGGGGAGAAACCCCAAAGTAAACCGCTAATATACACATCACGACTAAGTAGTAACTAGGAAATCATCAGAAGAAAGGTTTGACTTCTTTTAGAAGATGTGTTCAGAGTAACAACACATCAGTGCTTTACCTTATCATCCAGGCTGAAGAGGTAAGTGTCATTCTGCCTCATCTCCGCTTCTGCTTCCGAGATGATCTCACCTACGTACCTGTTCAAAAGCAGGCGACCCGTCAGTGAAACCTTTTAATGCCGATGCTGTTTACCACATGTCACGATATTTAAGGTTTATATTATCGAAGACTGCAGTTCTGAGATACGGAGCTTCAAAGATTTAACATCCCCGCTGGTAAAGCCTTTTAAAATGTTGAACCCAAAAGGTTATTCCTTATCACATAAATGACACACACACGCACACATATTAGTCAACATGGAAAAATCATGTGTGAGTGAATGATTAACCGTCTGTATTAAAAGATATCAGTTTATCAAGACATCCATTTATCAGGTTGCACAGACCAGCTACACAAACAGAAAGTGAAGAAAACAAACTGGCACACACGACCGTGAGGTAAACATGAGGGACTGATGAGAACTCATCTTTCACATGGCTTCACTCAACCCTTTCAAGCCTCCAGAAACACTTTGTTTATGTGCGTATTTAAATCGTGCATTACAAAACTAAACGGTTGCTGCTTTGAGTTGGAATTGATTTCATTTTATAGTGACGCTGTTTACACATCACACGATCACAAATGTAGCAGAGACAAAGACAATGTATTTGAAAACATGTTAAAGTATTAGTTCTCCAGAAGGACCTGTAATTAGTACATTGTCAAATGTATTGTTTTAATGTATTTATTTTATGCATTTAAATGCAAATTTATTGAACTGTCAAATTAATAACAGAATACTGAAACAGGACATAATTAGAGAAATCGGGCAGAAGGCTGGCAACAGTGAACATGACAGTGACGTGAAACAATGAAACTGAACTCGTTAACAGTTTTTGGACAAGAATTAAGCCACTGGATGACATGTTGCTTCATCACCACGAACACAGCAGCACATGTGTATTAATCCACCACTGAATATAGCCCCCAATGTCTTTCCTCCTGCTTGTGTAAATGCTCAGTGACCAGCTGTTTTAGGACATTACCGAGCTTTACTAAAATCATTTTTCTGTTATTATTTCTGCTTTTATTACCACCGCTATTACAGCTCTCATTATATGCATAATTTCTGTCATGACTATGTTGTAGTTATATATGTATATATGTGTATATATATATGTATATATGTATATATAT